GAAAAAACTTTTATCTCAATATTATTATTATTAATATATTTATCTTTTTACTCGCCTTATGACTGTCAAAGTCAAGAGAAACACATAATTTGATCAGACTTAGAATATGGGTCTTCAAAAACAGTTTTTCCCTCCTTGCCTTTCAGGGCTTCCATACATCCCTCTGCCTGTTGTGCTGCTTTCTAACTTGGAAAATCTGTAACTGCAGAGATCTGCTGAATTCACATCAGACAAACAGACAGGACACAGAATATAAAGGCAGAACTTAATCAGACAACAAGAAACACCTGGAGGAGACACAAGAGGAAACAGGTGAGGGCGGGGCTGCAGGAATGACAGACAGCAGGGCAGAGATGCACAGGGGAACAGAGAAACACTAGAAAACTGAGGCAGAAAAGACAGACTGTGACACGTTCAACAATCTGCGTCTGACTTAAGCCTAATTAAGTGAAATACCTGGGGTTGGCATGGCATTCATCTTAGCCTGTTGCACCGGGGAGCATCCTGGTAATTAAATTTTTAAGAGTGGGGACCACAGGAGTCCAGACAACCCGCCGAGTCAGAGGGAAGCAGACAAAGTAAGCGAGTTAAAGAGAACAGCAGTGAAAGGTCAGGGAGGAATTGTAAAATACTGTTAGAAACAAGGGAAGCTGATTTTACTGTATGGGTCAGGAAACAGGTGACAGCCAACACCAATTCTACACATGTTAGCGTCATCGTGTCAAAATAATAATAAAAATCTGAAGAAAAAGAAGCAAAAGAAGAAAACTAAACCTTAATAAATCCTTGAAGGAACACGCATCACATGCACTTTTCACATCAGAGTTTTAGACTGAAATCCTCCCATGAGACACAGCTGCTTCGATCAAACAATAAAAATAACACTGGGCACAAGATCATGCAATATTATGACTGTCAGCTACTACCACATCACATTTTAACTCCAAATTCACTAAGATATAACAGCTGTGAGTGCCTTGTTGAATAAGGTCAACCCTAAGAAGTAATTAATTGTATCTGTCCAATAATTACTTGTCTTCTGGTTCATTAGATATTTTGCTAACAGTCAAACAGAACTGACTCCCAGTGTCCAACAAATAACACTGACAGGAACTAAAATACCGTATTTTATGTCAGTATCTGTAAAACTGAGTTAAAGCCGTTTTGTTTTGTTTTGTTTTGTTTTTTAGCTGTGGCGACCATGTTGACTTCAAAAGTTTTAACAACAAAACCTGTAAAAAATGCATTAACTTTGAATTCTGACATGTATTTTTCTGTTGAACAGATTATTTATTTATTCATTCATTCATTCATTCATTCATTCATTCATTCATTCATTCATTTATTTATTTATTTATTTATTTATTTATCTATTTATTTATTTATTTCAATGTTCTCCACTTTATTCAGAGTCAGCAG